ACAAAGTAATAAACTTTGTCCATTTCCACCTATTTGAAGTGTTATTTTATTCTATAAGATTTGACTAATAATAATTAAAAGGGTCGAAGTTGCTACAATTGCTTTATCAGAAGTTGCTATCACTTTAATTCATTATGTAAATTCATCATTGACGAAACAATTATTTAATTATAAATGTCATTTTGAGTTTTGTTCTAACCGACACTATTCCATCGTTTGTCTCAATAATAGCTTCATTTATCTCATTTATACGTCATATCTATTTATAATCGTTTATGATGAATTGATAAGCAAGAAGGAATCTTGTGATTATACTAACCAGCTATAAATAACGTTTCAATAACAAATCAATTATTTCTGTAATCTTCTTAAATCGTTATAATGATGATTTGAAAATACATAACCCAAAATCCAAATAATAATAATGAAAGAGAAAAAAAAAACTAAAAGTGATAGTAATGGAAATATAAATCTAACATGTCGATCACATGCAAATGATATATTTTTTTTATTCTTTAATCCATTCCATAATTCAGCACTATCTAATTAAAATCTTCAAGTTGCAAACACTGTAACGTGATTATGCAAACCAAAATTAATGCACAACCTCCTAAAAGTCAAAATACAAATAAAAAATTAGATTAACTTTGTTAGATTGATCAATTAGTCAATTGAACAAACAAATCAGATCCCGTGAACTAAGTTTTGTCAACTAATTTACAAAATGCAAGTTACAATTTAGTCTGTCGATAAAAATAATTACATTCGTTAGTTATTTATATATATATATATATATATATATATATATATATAGTATATACTTTTTTTGTCTCAAATTATGTGATTCATTTTTATTTTTTAGTCCGTCTTAAAAAGAATATTGTCACCCTTTTATAATTGGAAAACAATTATGTAATAAAATTCTTCTTTTATTCTTCATGAAATGATTTATAGCCGTATAAATGATCAGTGAGTCTTTTAAACTTCAAATTTCAAAAATATTTTTTTATTTCTTAAATTTTGTGTTAAATCCAATGATATCTTGACATAAATTAGAACGAAGAAGTATATAAAAATATAGATTTGCCGGCTATTGTATGTATTGATAGACGGCTATTTCTATCAATTTCTCCTTATAAATACTAACAGGCCTGTTTGTTTTTTGTTTATTGTGGATCCGGATCCAATCTCAATTTATTTACTAAATTTGATTTTTTTTCTTCTTATTTACATACCTTTTATATTTTGTTCAATTTCACATAGTCAAACGATATATTTACCCTTTTATTTGCTTTATATTTGTTCATTTAGATTGTTTGCGAAGCCTTATAATCATCTAGAACCCTAAAGGAATTAACAATATATTTCATTCTATAGAGAAAAAATAATAGCAAAAAGGATTGTACAATTAAGATTTTTTTCTAATATTTAAATATTAAAATTTGTCTAAATTATCTAGTAGTTCTTTCCCTACCTTCTTACAAACTTCTTCTAGGTTGTGGCCTGTGGGGAGAGTATAAAAGTCGAATTTGATATGACCGGCAATAATGATATCTTATATCTAAATCGATGAGTAATTTTTTTTAAAAAATAATGAAAAAAAGATCAAAACATGCCACTAAAGGACTCTATTCTTGTAAAAATGCATTATCAAAAGCGCGGAGGAGATAAAGTGGGATTCTCATTAAATAAGTGAACAATTAAATTGGCTCAATTTCACAAGCAAACCAATAAAATCAAGTGCTAATTCCCATTTTATTGATCAATAAATCGGATTTGGATAAAATATCTTAATAATGTAATAGATTCATACAACTCCATTTTTTAAACATGCTTTGAAAAGCAACCCTAAATAATGATATTAATCAAGTATCATTGAATGCCTTTTCTATAATTTTTATAGTCGTACCATCTCAAGAAATAATTAAAATAATTGGAAGATTTATAAAATTAATAAAAAAACAAATTATACAAATTGACCAAAGCTATTCCAATCTTCTATAAATTGATGGGCACAATATATCTTTTGTATAATCAACTTCAAAGTCTTCTTTCTCATACAACATTTTTTTCATTCGTGAAGGTATGTTTTCTATGCCCTCCCCTCCCCCCCTCCCCCCCCCCCCACCCTTCTTTTTGTCTATTATTAATTTTTCTCTAAGTATGACACCTACTTATTATTATACATGGCCATTTGTCTATTATGTTCTTTAACTCAACTCAAATTCAATTGAATTTGTTTTTGCTTGATTTATATTAATATATAGGTTAATGTTGTTTCTTTTTTAGAATTGTTTATGAATCAGAGCGAATCTAATATGTATGGGAGAAAGAAAAGGAAAAAGAACGGTGAAAAATAGTATCAGTGAAATTTGAGTGTTATGTATTTAGATGATGCATGTATAGTGAATTTATAGCCATCATGAGATTGCAATTTTAATCTATGTTAGTACTTATTAAGTTAATTATATGATTATTTTCTATTGATTAAATAATTAATCTTGTGATTTGAATGTACTTAAGTGGACAAATAGGAATCTTATTAGGTAAAAGAAGACAACTAATCCATTTATGTGTTTCCCCACCTATCCTCCCCTTAATTAGGCCAAAAGACAAATAAAAAAAGAAAAAGAATTAATGAAAGGTTTGTCATCACAATAATAATTGGCTTGGATTTTGTCAAAATTATAAATTGGACAAGGTGCAGTCCAATGATTTAATAATTGCTTCCCAAATGACATGGTTATCCTAAATGGATATTTTTTAATAAAATTAACGATATAAAGTATTTTTATATTATCAGAAATTGACTATTTTATAGTATATAATTATTATTTTTATTTTTTAGATAACTATATCGAGTTTGCTATGCAAATTTTGACTATTCTTATAAGGTAACTTAAACTCGATTTTTTACATAATTATTAGAACCCCAAAAGCTTCTTTCAACCACCTAAACCACATATTTCTCCCTATTTTTTAAATTTTTTTTTTGATGTCATGCATAATAGTTTAATACTTTTGTGTCCTCCTTAAATTAAAATTTACAAACTTCTATTACATGAAAACATATTAATTTGCAAAGAATGACACTTTTTGTGGTTGAAAAACGAAATGAGTGGATTAGAAGTGATGCTTTTCACTAAATCTAAGTCCTTGTTTTATTAATACCAAGTTCTCTTCCCCACCCCACCCCCACCCCACCCCCAAGTATCACACATGAACCGCCCCATTCAAAACTCAAAAAGAAAAGAACATTTTTTTTGTCTCCAAAAGAATAAAAGGTCATGAGTGTGAAGACACAGTGACATACGCAGAATTTTTATATTTAGTAATGTCTAGTAATCTACATATTGTCACTAAATTTGTAAGTGAGTTTTGTTCTAAAAATTAGTAAGATCTTACAACTTTATTGTGTATCTCAAATTGATATTTATCTTGTATTCAAATAGTATCAGACAATAAGTATTTATATACATATTAGTTTTTTGATAAAATATATTTTTATTGTCAAGTTAAGCCTTGAGCCAAATTTAAATTTCAAAAGTTAGTTTAAAAGGATGATGATTGTCCAAAATAAATAAAGAGTCCAATAAATTTCGTTCTGATATGATGTGGGGTCATTTCATTAATTCATCATACACACACCTCATGGTTAGATCTGACCATTCTTTATCTGGGGTTTCATCTCTGGTTTGAACCATGTACAATCATGGATCAAGAGTATATTTACAATCGCCACACAGTCCGGAGGCCCACTGGACCCTCTGAGCTCCGCTCTGATATCATGTCAAATTAGGCTTCGGGTCTAACTCACCCCTCAAAAGCTTATATAACTCAAAAGAAAAATTTGCCTAGTCTTTAAAAGAAATCGCATCTCGATCCGATGTGGGAGCATTCCATTCATCATCCATACCTAAATTAGTTTTGTTTGTTAAAATATGTGATACCTTGCTTCAGGTTGGGACCTATTGGACTTAATCGGACCGATTTAATCATGTCCTGACCTAGATAGATAAAAGATCGATCCAATTAAAATTAATGGGTTGGGCCATGATTAATATAAATCGGATCGTTATGAAAATATTTTTTCAATCTAGGTAACAGATTGATAGGCTCGATTATAAAATAAATGTGCAAGACCGATTATTAGGAATATAGCCCACAAAATTCCCAACTTGTAATGTCAAAGTTAAGATAACACACTATATATAAATGTGGTCCTTATGTCTATATGTATTTGCTTAGCATGCTCAATATCTCAATCAACTTTGTTCAATGATCTTGTTCACAAACGGTCAATTGCCACTTACATTGAAAACAAAAAAACTGGTCACTTGTGCAAAGTTGAGGTTGACTAGAAGTTTTATTAGTGAAGTTGATCATATCTTTTAAGTTAAAAAGGATCATTTATTTTTTTTTCTAACCGTTTAAACTTCTATAATATAATCACACGTGTTAACTATATGTTGACTTATCATAACGATTAACGTTTAGTCCTTTACTTTCCTCATTAATTAGTCTCCCCCTCTAAAGAAAGGAGTCGATGTAGCTGTTGTGTTTTCTCTTTCTTAGTCAATGATGATAGGCTCGACGTCTATCTACTAAAAGAGGCTATCCATTCCAAATAATTATATATGTTTCTGCTAGGCAACGAGTGAAATGTTGATAGACCTTTTTGAATATACAATCCACTCAAAAATAGAGATATATACTTATCGTTATATCATACATGTACTCATTATTTTTACCAAATAAAATAAGTTAGCTAGCAATTAAAAGTAAGGTAAGAGTACATGGCATTTAACCATAATTAAATGATACATATATCTTATTGCTATCGATTTGTTTGTAAACACTGAATGCGAGTAAATTTTTTACTATTATCTGCCTTTCAAAAGACATATTGACAAGTTAAAATCAGGCATATACTATCATAGTTTGCTCAATGCTAATGTGTCTATGATTTAATTCTAATTATTTTTTGTTTAATAATTGTGATGAAGTACAGTTTCATTGAGTGGGACTACAACTAGAGGCCTAAAAGTCCAACAAAGTGGCTGGTTTTGGTTGCTAATTAATTAGTGCACCAAATTTTCAAATCCAATATTCCTTTTTCCACTTCAAAGTTCAAAGTAGTGCACAATTCCAAAACCATTTGCTACTATATAAATTGAGCTTTTGGGGCATTTGATCAAATATTGGGCAAAGTACACAACACTTCATTACACATCAGAGACATGGCCAATTATTCAAGATTTCTCTTATTGTTATTACCTCTACTTCTTCACATTCATAATGGTACTTTTCTTCTTACCTTGAAAATTTATGACTTTATTGAATTATTATGTGTTTGTACTTTCTGCTGCACTATGATTAACTATTTATCAAAACACACATTAAAGATGACTAGACCAAGTGTCTTAATACAATCGTCAAAAGACATGTGATAATTTAATTTGCACATAAAATTCCGTCCACGTCACAGATGACTCGTTTATTTTGAGGCACGAGTATTTTGATAAATAGTTGGTGATAGTTCCGATATAAAAACTCATAAAATGTGATATTTCAAATGCGTTTTTGACCATTATCTTTTTCTTTTTTTTTTCATAATTTGACTAACTTCTAGACAAAGTACATTTGTATTTTGACTTCAGAGATACTTAATCATACTAAAATTTTGTTTAAATTTATATTTTTTAAGGACAAGTGTAATTTTTTTCTATAAAGTCGGTAAAATTTAACCTGTTATGGAAAGTTATTTATTCTATTTCTCTCAGGGTATCATATATATCATACTTTTCAGTGCACAAAATTAGAACTTTTTTTAAAAAATTTCAAAGAACAAGTTCTTCCTTTCACTTCTTTCCTCGGGTACGTACCTCAACTAATTTTACAAAATACTTATTATATTTTATCAGTATAAATATCGAGCAACTCTTTACCTATGTACTAATTACTGTTGAGTCTTAATTAACTGCAGTAAAAAGTGAGCTCCAATTAAAATACTACACAAAGAGTTGCCCAAGAGCTGAAGATATCATCAAAGAACAAGTGGCAACCTTGTACCACAAACATGGGAACACAGCAGTTTCTTGGATTAGAAATCTTTTTCATGATTGCATGGTTAAGGTAATTATAATATAAATCTTGATATTCTTGATAATTTTTTATTCAAAAAGAATTAACTTAAATATCCGCCAACCCACCTACTTAAATTAAAATAATAATGAGATTATTGAATATCGAGTAAATTCAATATAATAGACGATTATTGACATTTCAACCTTCCCTTTTCTTTTATGGATTATCCAAAAGAGAATTCAGTACTTCTTGATCGTGAGTATCTGATCTATAATTTCATTTTTTTTTCGTATGTCAGAAGTAACATAATCTTCCGCGGAGTTAATATATGTATATACATGTATATTATGTGAATATCCGTATATAATTTGTGTATCATCTTTGTATATTCACTAAAAAAAAAAAACAGTAAATTTTATTGGACTATTTGTATAAAGATCATTTACTTCAAAGCATTGTTTCATCTCAATTGAAAAAGTAAATAACGTTTCAAGACCAAATCTAATTTCGTTTATTTTTTTTATTTTTACCCCTTTTTGTGTTTGATTTAAATAATATAAGTTTTTTTTTAATTTTTTGCAGTCATGTGATGCATCATTATATTTGGACGCAGCAAATGGGCTAGAATCAGAAAAAGAATCTCCAAGGAATTTTGGGATGAGGAATTTTAAGTATATTGAGACTATTAAACAAGCACTTGAAAAAGAATGTCCAAATACTGTTTCTTGTGCTGATATTGTTGCTCTTTCTGCTAGGGATGGTCTTCTTTGGGTAGGTTCATCTAAAAATTCACTATATTTTCCATCTTCGCGATTCGAATTTAAACTTATATATACTGACAGTCAGAGTAGTATGTAGCAATAGTTGCCAAGTTTTAATGTCTAATGTTGAATAGTTACAAGTTTATTTGCACATTATGATTATAGAGATTTCGTGTGGTTAAAAATTAATACAAACACAAGGACTTTAGCAAGAGCCGTGTTATGGATGATCTTATTGCACTGTTCAGAGAACACTTGTGTGTATATATATATAGTGTGTGTCCCGTGACACTACTTTCCTTAAGGTGTCTCTTCCCCCTAGACTCATCCTAAGAACCTTAGATGTTTAATTCATAGAGTTAAAATTTTGAATTCAAATATCTATTCTGATAGAGCAAGAAAATTTTACACAATCAATATATATATATATATATATTTATTTATTTATTTTAATCTGTTATAGCACTTAACATGAATTACTAAGTTTTAATTTGTGTGATACAGTTAGGAGGGCCAATAAGAATTGAAATGAAAACAGGAAGGAAAGACAGCAAGGAAACTTACTTTTCAGAAGTTGAGAAGTACCTTCCTAATCACAATGATTCAATGTCATCTGTGCTTTCAAGATTTCAATCAATTGGTATTGATACTGAAGGAACTGTTGCTCTACTAGGTAATCAACTCTCGTTTGATCATAAATTTTTAAAAAATAATTAATTAATTAATTATACAAATTTATGTTTATTTCAATTGAAAAATTCATGTAGAGTCAAGTCTTAGAAATAACAACAACTTTTGTAACTCATACACATTAGCCTGTCTTTCTACCTATCTCCACTTAAATACTAGATATCATAGGTTTGACGCAAGTCTCAAACATGTAACCTAAGCCATAATTTGTAGAACTTAAAAATATTTTAAAGATATATTATCAAAAATTGATAGTAAAACACTAGCTAAATTGTTTAATGTTCTAAATTTCCAAGTTTATAACAAAACACAATTGATCGACATGCGAATTTATGAGTTTTCAATTTATGCACTTTGATTCAACCAATAATATTTTTTAATCTTTCTACATATCTCCATTTATATACCAAACATCATAAGTCTGAGGCAGGTCTCAAACACGTAACATAAGTCACCAATTATATTAAGTCTTAGGAAACTTATATAAAAATCGAATATAACACTTAATTTTTATTAGCTAACTCGGAATTGTTTTTTGTTTTATTTGGAAAAAAATAGGGGCTCACTCTGTAGGACGAGTTCATTGTGTGAACTTAGTCCACAGGCTTTACCCAACGGTGGACCCGACTATCGACCCCGACTACGCAAAGTACCTTAAAGGTCGATGCCCGTCACCAAACCCTGACCCGGAGGCTGTTTTATACTCAAGATTCGATCGCGAAACTACAATGATTTTAGACAATATATACTACAAGAATATTTTGAACAAAAAAGGGTTATTAATTGTGGATCAAGAATTGGTTACTGATCCAAATACTTCACCATTTGTGGTGAAAATGGCTGCTGATAATAATTATTTTCATCAACAATTTGCTAGGGCTATGCTTATTTTGTCTGAAAATAATCCACTAATTGGAGATCAAGGTGAAATTAGAAAAGTCTGTCGCTATGTAAATAGTGCTTAGTGGATATTTAATTGTTATGTAATGTGGTTGTATTTTTTTTTATACCGCTTCGTAGGATCTCCCACGAGATGCTTACCATCTGAGCAATCAGCTCGTGGTTGCATTTGTTTTGTTTTCTTGTTTTTTGTTTGTGTTGCATCTTCAAGTGAAATAATAATAATAATATTGTTCAAATCAAGTGTACTATAAGTGTGTTGCATTGTTATGCCGGTTTTTTTATGATAATATGATGGTGTTCGAATCAGTTTGTGGGAAATGCAAAGTAAGTTAGATTTGTAAGAACATTTGACAATTTTTGTTACTAATCCAACTATAAGAATATTTTGGGCCTCAAGGGGCTATTAATTGTGGATCAAGAATTGGTTACTAATCCAACTACTACTTTTGTGGAGAAAAAGCCCTAAAGGTTGTTGATAATGGCTATTTGCCTACTTCTATATTGATATAATAAGGTAATGTTCAAGTCAGTTTGCATCTCACTAGACAATTTAATTGAGTATATGTTATTAGAGGCAAAGCTACAATTCAATTTACGAGTTCGATAGAATCCATGTTGAATCCAACAACTTAAACCCCAATTTCGTATTTGTGTTAAAAGTCTACTTTTTTTTTATCAATTAGTTTACAAAATATATAAGTTATGTATACTTTTATTATATATACACATAACATACATTTGTTTGGGTATACATATAATATTCGTATTGATACATAGTGTATATAATTGATATATAAAATATGTATATTTTAATTATATTGTTAATAAATTTATTGATCAAACGGTATATATCAGTAACTTTTCCTAAAGTGCAGGGACAAAAGTTGAACATCCACTTCAACCAACCCACTATATCAGTAAGATTGGACATTAGAAGGAGACCAACCATACATGGGCATGGACACCTAATTGTGGGCATTTTTAAGTAGTGTGGGCCTCATAATCCCTTCGCATGCACTGCTTATGTATAAAGGGAACTTACGCAGATAAACAAATATATATTAATTAGTTAGCTTACATAGCTATAGCTTGAATTAATTATCACTCGCCTCCTCTTTTTAGCTATAATTATGTGTGTCTCTCTCTTCTCTTCCTCTCTCTCACTTCTCTCCTCTCTTATATATACATATACTATCATATGATAGATATACAAATTCGTCTCTCTCCTCCCTCTCCTAATCTAGCTCGCCCAATATACAAATACATATGTATATTAGTTACATAGATACAATTATCTGACAGATATACATATACAATTTGATAGATACACAAATGCAATTTACCTCTCTGCCCTCTCTCGTTTGCCTCTATCCTCCCTCTCCCTATCTCGCTCGCATCTCTCATCCCTTTAACAATGTAGCTATGCATCGTAATTAACAACTATAGTTGTGGAACCTAATTAAGTTGTTTTTATTGGCTACTTATGAAATTTCCTCTTTGATAAATTCCTTTTCATTTAATTTTCTTTTAAATGAGATAATTTTTAAAATTCATTTAGTTATGAAATTTTTCCATTTTTATTATTGTTATTTTTTCGTATGTCTGGTCATTCAAGCTTCCTCATTATCTATAGACGTCTTTTGGGCTTAAAATATTATTCAATTCTTTCCTTTTGATTTATCGGGTGTGTATAGAATCCCACATTACAAGTCTTAAAATGCTATAGACGTCTTCTAGACTTATTTATTTATCTATTGTGCCCTCCCTAGATTATCCTCTAACGATTTTTCTTTTTACTTTACGTACATTTCCTTTTTTATGTTTGTCATCTTCTATCATCTCTAAAATTATTTTTTGAGGAAATATAAGAAGTTGGTTAGTCATGATACAATAATTAATTATAGTGGTTGGTACATATCATGACGAAAAGAGAAAAGACGATAGTTCACTTCCAAGTAAAGTGTTCTTTTATTGTCAATATCCATATATTATTATATATTATATTGAAAAAAATATATTTATGAATCTTGAGATCAACAAAATGTAAAGTGGAATGAATTATCTTAAGAAGTACGATTAATTAAGAAATCATTATTTAAACTACTCAACATGATCTACCATACTATAATTAAGTAAAGCAAACTTCTCAGACTATTTAGTTTAATTCTTACCTAACTTAATTAAATTAAAAAGGAGGAGAAATTTTGAGACACTTTTCTTTTGATGAATTTTATATAATGCGGTTCTGAAATAATCGACTCAATAAAATATTAGATGATTATGTAAAAGAAACGGAGAAAAGTAAATATTTCAAAGAATTACTACCAAAACCCTAACTTACATACATCTACATATATAAAAGATTAAGAAAGGTCGCGAAATTCTCAACAAGTTGTAAATCTTCAAACACTCAACATTTTCATATAAATATCAAATATTCAAAGATCAAGAATAAAGTCAAGTTCTCAGATTAAATAGACGTTCATATTAAAGCAACTTGTTCATGATATAGTTATTATTCATTGTGATTATTAAGGTGTTCGTGACGAAAAGTTAAATAAATACTATTGAAATTCGAATTCAAAATCAAGTTTAATTTCATGCTCTTGAATTCAAAATTAAGTTACAAACTAATCAACAAAACTCAAGAATAATCAAGTTCTTGAGCTAACAATCGAAAGAAAATATCATACTTTTTCTAGTCCATTTTAAAAATAACAATTCTTTTTTTTGCAACCTTCGATTTTTTGACGTATTTAAAATCACAAGATTAAAAAATGTTAATTCAATACATTTAACATATTGTTAATTTAAAAATCACAAAATTCAAAAAGTATTCTTTAATTAAAATCGAGGGAGCATTTATCACACAATATTTTTCTGCCTATAACGTCTTAGTGATTTAAGTATGACATAAATAAATTGTGACATTAGGACAAAATCCCACAGTAAATTAAGTGACATAAAATTTATCACGGATTTCTAACTCCCATTGTAAAACATTAATTCTAATCTTCTCTAAAAAGTCATTTTAATGTATTGTTTCAATTTATATGGTGTAATTAATGGGTCATAAAATTTAAGGATGTTTAACTTTTTTTAAAAACTTATATATCTTAAATACACGATAGGTTTATGCAGTTACTATAAGAGTTATAAACTATACGAAAAGTATTATGGATAGCTTATCCATATATTAATTTATGTATAAATTATAAAGTATAATATTTAATAATCCGTTAGAAAGTAAGTTATTTAAGTATAAAATTGATATGTCGTTTAGTTTATAATTTATAAAATTGTATAACTAATACATGAATAAGTTATGAAAAAAAAAAAGTATTATCTTAGGTGGGATATGAGATGGAGTAGATAAATTGCATAAATAATATCCACATAACTAATACTTGCATTACTAATACCTACTACCTACATTACTAATGTCTACACAATTCTAACCAGTTATCAAACGATCATACATTCTACAATCTTTTTGAATAATAATATGATGAAAGATACATTTCAAAATATTATTTGATCTCTTAATTTCGATTTATGTGAAATCTTTTGAGTCCTTTGCAAAAGGGAATATCATATATTTTTATTATAACTATTTAACAACACCATCCTCATTTTTACTTTTATTTGGTCTCGATTATCTCCATTTGAGCCCTAAATATAAAAAAATTCTTAATGAAAAGCAATTTTACTCAAATAAAATTCTATGTGACGTAAATTTAAATTAATCGAACTTTTCAGTACGTAATACCACTACTATGACATGGGACCCGACATAATAACATAAGAAGAAAAAAAGAAGAAGGTGTCTTTACAATGGAAAAATATTACCGTTATATCAAACACGTGTATCCCAACCGCTATCCCTCTGTCTTCTTCACTCCAATTCTTTCGATTCTCTTTCTTCTTTCAACATCAACACCTCTCTCACTTTTTCTCAGCTCAAATTCCCACTTTCCATACATCTTTCCACTAATATTTTACCCAAATTAGCAAGCCCTTTTGCTGAAAAGCTTCAATTTTTTCACACAATTGAGCTGTAATCTCAAATGGGTTTTTTCTAAAATCCAGAAATGATGTAAATTTTTCTCTTGAATTTGTGTTTTTCTAGTGAAAATCTGAAAAGGGTTAGTTTCTTTTTTACATTTGAATGGAGATTTACTCATTACTAGTTGTATTGCTCTGTTTCTTGGCTGCTTTAGCTGCTGCCACTGAGTTTGATTCTGGGACTTTAACTCTTAGTAGTTTGAAGCTTTTAGGCGATGCCCATTTGGGGAATAATACTATTAAGTTGACACGTGACCTTGCTGTTCCAAATTCCGGTGCCGGAAAAGTTTTGTATTCTAAACCAGTAAAGTTCCGGCAGCCGGGTCTTGATTTTCCGGCGAGTTTCTCTACGTTTTTCTCGTTTTCTGTTAGTAATTTGAATCCTTCATCGATTGGAGGTGGATTGGCTTTTGTTATCACACCGGATGATGAGTCGGTTGGTGATTCCGGTGGGTATTTGGGGATTTTGGATGCAGAAGGAGGGCAAAATGGGAATTTTGGAGTTGAATTTGATACACTTGTGGATGTTGAATTTAAAGATATTAATGGAAATCATGTGGGGTTAGATTTAAATTCAATGATTTCAACTCAGGTTGGTGATCTTGATTCTATTGGTGTTGATCTAAAAAGTGGTGATTTGGTTAATTCTTGGATTGATTATTTTGGTTCTACAAAAAAATTGAATCTTTATGTTTCATATTCTAATCTTAAGCCAAAAGAACCATTTTTATCTGTTACAATTGATCTTTCTGAATATGTAAATGATTTCATGTTTGTGGGGTTTTCTGGTTCAACACAAGGGAGTACAGAGATTCATAGTATTGAATATTGGAGTTTCACTTCATCATTTGATACAAATCCTAAATCTCCCCCGGAAGCGGGGGCGGAGCAGCCTCCGCCCCCGCCAACGGCTAGTTTGATGAACCCCACGGCGGATGTAACTACATCCGCCACATCGCCTCCTCCGGAGCAGCAGATTGCTCCAGCGGAAGCGAATGGTACTGCTAATGCAGTACAGAAAAACAGCAGCAAATGTCATAATAGTTTTTGTAAGCAAGGTGCTGGTGCTGTTGTTGGGGTTGTTACTGCTGGAGCATTCTTTCTAGCTTTTGCTACATTGGTACTTATTTGGTTGTATTCGAAAAAATTCAAGAATGTGAAGACTTCAGAGTCTATGTTGCCTTCTGATATTATCAAAATGCCAAAGGAATTTAGCTATAAGGAGCTTAAAATCGCGACGAAAGGGTTTGATTCTACTAGGATAATAGGGCATGGTGCATTTGGTACTGTCTATAAAGGGATTTTGTCTGAGACTGGTGACATTGTTGCGGTAAAGAGGTGTAGTCATAATGGACAAGGGAAAGCTGAGTTCTTTTCTGAATTGTCGATAATCGGAACACTTAGACATAGAAATCTTGTTAGGCTACAAGGATGGTGTCATGAGAAAGGTGAAATCTTGTTAGTTTATGATTTGATGCCAAATGGTAGTCTTGACAAGGCGTTATTCGAGTCCAGAATGATCCTCTCGTGGCAACACAGGCAAAAAATCTTGTTAGGTGTTGCTTCTGCATTAGCATATTTACATCAAGAATGCGAAAACCAGGTGATACATAGGGATATCAAGAGTAGTAACATTATGTTGGATGAAGGGTTCAATGCAAAGTTAGGAGATTTTGGATTAGCACGACAAATCGAACACGACAAGTCCCCCGATGCAACGGTAGCAGCCGGTACAATGGGGTATTTGGCACCAGAATACTTGTTGACAGGTAGAGCAACTGAGAAAACTGATGTGTTTAGTTATGGGGCAGTGGTTCTTGAAGTGGCAAGTGGGAGGAGGCCAATTGAGAAAGAAACAACAACTAGTGGTGTTGGATTAAACAGCAATTTGGTTGAATGGGTGTGGGGATTACACAAAGATGGGAGTTTACTATCAGCAGTTGATTCAAAATTGAATCTTGAATTTGATGAAAAAGAAATGACAAGAGTGTTGTTAGTTGGTTTGGCTTGTTCACATCCTGACCCTATAGCTAGGCCAACAATGAGGGGGGTGGTACAAATGTTAGTAGGTGAGGCTGAAGTACCTATTGTACCAAGGGCTAAACCATCAATGAGTTTTAGCACATCTCATTTGTTAATGACATTGCAAGATAGTGTTTCTGACTTGAATGGTATGATCACACTTTCAACTTCTTCATCAGAAAACAGTTTCAATGGTGTTGGTGGACATGATGGCATGGACCTAGTTTAGTTCAAAAATCAAGAAAGGAGCTTTGGATGGTTTCACTTTTTGTCATCTTTTTGTTTTGTTGTTTGGGGTGTGAGCCCTTATTAGCGCAGAATATTTTGTGTATCAGATTGTCTTTTTGTTCATAGATTCATTAATTTTTATTTTTTTTTATTATTATTTTTATTATTATGTATGTAACAAAAATAAGCCTTTTAACTTATATATATAATCCAAATTTTCTCCTTTTTTGTTTTGCTGTCTACATTATACCTGCTCTTATTAGTGTAGAATGTTTTGTACCATCTTTTTGTTTTACCTTTATTTATTATTATATGTATGTAACAAAAATAAGTCTTTCAACTTATATAATGGTATGCCCTTATGAAAAGGGGTTCTAAATTTTCTCCCTTTTTTGGTTCAGTTTGGTAAAAAAGAATGTATACATTGAATGTACTCCTCCTACTCCAATTAAGTGATATTGTATCTCAAGTTCATGTAAAGAAAATGTCCCAACTTTTTTAATATTTAGAAGTAATTTAACATTAAAATATTTTTGTTCTTAATGACATAATCTTATAGAAGCTAAGGGAATTTTGAAATAACGGTAGAATTATTTCTGCGTAACCTATGACTTATCATAAAATAACGGTAATAGTAAAATTGTTTTCATGTGACTTATATTCAAATAAATTAGGCACATTATGCTCTTTGGGTGTGGGGTCCTTCCTCGCTTATCGCTACGATGAACACATGATGTTTTGTGGACTAGGGCGTCCTTTTTGGGTGCAATCTTCTCAATTATCGCGATGAACAAATGATGTTTTGTGGACTAGGGCGTCCTTTTTGGGTGCAATCTTTCATCAGTTATCGCGATGAACACATAATGCTTCGTAGATTAGATTGTTCTTTCTAGTGACATAATTTTATGGCCACAAATATCATGACATATTTAACATCAAAAATTATCTTCTCTTAAACTATGTATATAGTCAAACATGTCACCATAAAATGTAAGGAGTAATGGAGTAACAAAAAATCTATGAATAAATGGAACTATGGCATTGTGACAATGGAAAAAGGTTTATTTTATTGGTAGATGCTATTAGAATATTGTTCAATGTGGACCATAATTAAAAAATGAGATAGGATTTTCACATATATATTTTATCCTTTTCTTATATATATATATATATATAGTTCCTATGGATAAGTTTTCTCTATTTGTAGTAATTTTTAGTACTCCCACCAACCTAGCTTTTATGTAATGTCTTGACAAAATTGATTATCTTTCGTTTTCAATTTAATTTCTTCTCCAAAGGAAGGATGACAAGGAATTTTCGATATTGTGTTATATCTAAATTAATTAAATCGAATTTCCTTATTGGATGAGGTGCATTAAAGGAAGAAACGTTTTTTTATCATTTTTTTTTATATTCAGAGTTCAAACTCAAGATTTTACTAAAAGTAAAAATTATATTTAGAGAAATTTCAAATACTAATGAACTACATATAGAGGAAATGATTTCTTTTTTAATTTTTCATCTAATGTCTAGTACCTATCAGATTCGTGCCGAAAAGTCTCATGGAAAATGATTCATCTTTTAATTGTAAAAAATATTTAATTTTTTTATATGGTGATAGTGAATTTCATTTTTACACACCAATATATTAACCAATTTTAGAAGATTGGTTTTTAACTTTTAGATTACAAATCTCACTTATTGTTGGCGTTGTTGTACTTTTTTATGTGCAAAATACTTGTATTTTGTATTCGCTTAAGGAGCTAATTTAAATTTGTATTGAAAAATCTCATATTAGGAGTAAACATTTTTTGTCAAATTTGATTTTATTTTAAAAATTCAAATTTTAGATCATATGTTACCAACCGTAACTTGTATTAAAAAGTCCCATTTTAAGAGTAAGTGTTTCCTAACAAATTCAATTCTAGATCAGGACTCGAACTCAAATCATTAATAGTAAAACTTGCAATTGATTAAGAGTAAGATTAGAGATATATAATTTGTTTAATGTAAGAATTGAAGGGGACCATGAGTTAAAGGTGTCTTTTATGTTCACTATGGACAAAAAAGAGCAATAATTTCAACAATTTGGTGGAAGATTACTTTTCAAGACTAGACTTTTGGAATCAACAATTTGATTGGAAGCAAATTTCATGTTCAACTTATACAATTAAAATATAATTATTTTTTTTGTTTTCCATCTGGTGTCCGGTACCTATATTGGAGCCTGACTAAATCCGAATTCGCGCCGAGAAGTCCCACATTGAGGGGTAAAACACTCCCTAACAAAGGCAACTCCGTACCCAAGGGGGCTCAAACCCGAGACCCCTTGGTTAAGGAAAAAATTTAATCATATTCAATATGGTGTTGGTAGATGTTGCAATTTAGAATTTTACTTTGCTAAAAAGTAAAATAAAAAAATTACTTTTAGTAACTTTCTGTCATAAGTTCTAACCTTTTTATCATCAAAGCATCTTCAAGGATGAGAACAATGAACATTTTAGGCTAAATCTTCAAAATAGGAGTGGGATATGAATTATTTTTATTAATCAGTGTTTTATCTCTTAATGTGAAATTTTTCTATATAAAATCAAATTTAGTTGTTTTTCAATATGCTGAATGGGAAACAACAACAATATACTAATTGTAATCTCATAAGTGGAGTTTAGTGAAGGTAAAATGTATGCAGACCTGAATTGAAAACAAAATAAAATAAAATTTTAAGCTAAAGTATAAAGACCTGATACTGTATGGTGAAAGATTAATAATAAGATGCATCTAACGAGATAAATAAAATTTCTTAATTTTGCGTGGAAAACTTGCACCAGAACCACTAAAATTATAAGTTTTGATTAGGCGAATTTGAAATTTAAATTTTATACGTTCAACATTTATATATTTCAACATCGAACACATCATATTTAGAAATTTTGAGCTTAAGCTACTATATTTTTAATAAAATTTTGCATATAAATTTATTGTTCTTATTGAAAATATTGAATTCACATGAACAAACAAATATATAACTTCATCGATGCCCTTGTTGATATACTAAGTTGGATAAGAGTAAGGTGTTTCTAGATGTGTAAAAAGTACACATACTAAACTACACTTCGTTCCTAATTTACTACTGAGGTGTTCCCCGCCGGTTGTTGGAATGATGCGAGTCGGGCCGGGTCTTGATTCAGAAAGGTGGGTCTAATTGTGCTTTGTCGGTGAAAGATTTTTAGTCAAACATTAATTGGCCGTGTTACGTGTATTACTGCACGCATTTTCCGCAGAGTACCAGTGTCAACCTTTATCATTAATTATAGTTATTTTTGTATTACATTTTTCAAGACATTGTATTTACTACATCCAAAGGATGATATAGTAAAATTACCCTTCTATTTATAATTTTTTAAGAAATGTACAGACAAGTATTATCGGACAAAGAGAGCAACGATTAATCAAGATGTTACATCAAAATAAATTGACAAGTAAGAAACTACAATTGGATTTAATTATACCATTAATAGGGGATAGTTAATGGATTGTATTTACTGCATTTTGACTTTAAATAACTCTCTTTTTTAGGATAGTGATGAATTTGAGTTTGTTAACCTGTCAAATGATTCTCTTTTTTAGAGCCAATAAAATCACTCAATTAAAATTTTAAAAAATCACATTAATTTCTGAAAAAACGTTTTCTTTATAAATTACTACTGCGTCGGTATTATTTGACTTTTAAAAAAATATTAATCTGTGTCTTTTTCACCTTAAACATAGTGATGACATATTTGGGTAAAAAGGTAATAAATGATTTTTTTATTTTGTAAAATCTTAAATATTTTGAAACAAATTTGATTTGTCAAAAACTACTATGATTTGAATTTTTTTTTAAAAAGTATTTTTACGCAAAGTGGAGAAAACATGATTTGTCGGTCACTAATTTTTAATTCCCTTATTATTTACCTTCTTCAATAATTACCTAATTAAAAAATAAATTAAAATATATCATGTGTATAAACACAGTTATACTAAATCAAAAAAAAAAGTTTAATGCTTATTTCATTTAATTTTTTCAAATCTAAATTGACTAGATCTCATCGTATCTAAATTTTCAACCCCTTTCGGAAACAGTAGACAACAAAAAGAGAAAAAAAAAATGTCAACAAATTCTTACCGCTGCATTTTATTTTTGATATTTCACTTTATATCCGATAGTTATATTAGATCTGAATAAATTAATAATTATTTTTTAAAAAAAAATATCAAGGATAAAACAACCTCAGCAAAAGGCAATTTCATGCAAATGGCTCAAACTTAAAAATCCTTACTTAAAAAGAAAGAAATATTTACATCACCACAATCTAAGTGGATTATTAGCTATTCTACCTAACAAAATACAAAACACAAAATGCAATTAAAAAAAAAAAGAGTGAACTAAACACTTTAATTAGTGTAACATTTACCATGTACAATTATAACAAACTCAATAATAATTTAAAGCCTTGGAAAGATAGAAATATTTGTCTCCAATGAAAAATTTCAAATCCAGCATCTTATGTCATGAACAGAAATATATATTCATCGTACCACAAATATTATTTTGTACTTATATTCTCTGCAAAAATTCTCCTTTTACTGACAAAAAGCAGACCAAAATTAGGTGAAAATTCTCACATGCACACAAGAGAAAGTGACAAAATAGATTGGACAATTGGAAAGCAGGTTAGCTAAGAGGGAGCTAAGATTTTGAATTTACGAATTTTATAATTTTTTCAAAAAAATTCAATGGGCTGTTGATAAAGTATATAAATTGGAGTATATAATTGATTCTGCCAAATTCATAATTAAAATGTTAGCTCTGCCTTTTGTTGGATCTTTTCTATGTCTTCATCGAATTTGTGTAGTATTATGTAGAACGGAGTAAGAATTCTTCTCACCTCCTATTAGTTGTCCAACAAAAAAGACTTGCAGAATTGGGCTAGATTATAAAACTTGTGACTTTCGATATCTTCCTTGGAATGACGATGTTGGTCAATGGTGTGAAAAAAAAAATCTTTTTATGTTTCAAAAAGGGAAAATTATATATAATAGCAAACTATTAA